TTTTTTTTTTTTTTTTTTCTTTCTTTCTTTTTTTTTTTCAACAGGGGGGCCAGAATAGAGAAAATCGTTGAAATCATCACCCACAACCCGTCGCTGCTGTGGGGTGGTTTAACTCTCCCACCGTGGTCTGGACGCACCAAGAAACATTCCTGGTACAAAGCCAGTAGTCCCGGTCACAAACAGATGGCCAGTGACGATCAGATTGTAGACTTTTTGCTCACAACATACAAGAGTTATGTCCATCCATCCATTTTGATGAGATTGCTGCTCCACAGGTACACAAACCAGTCTGTGTAACCCATTCGGTCTCATACTGAAGGTTTCCTTGATTGAAGTAGTATATCAAACATGAGAGACAGTGTTTCATCGGGATATCTAAACACCGAGAAGAGAGTAACAGTTGAAAAAATGACGCGCAACGGAGTATTTTTGACGAAATTCGAGGTGTTTGGATGGCCGATGAAACACTGTCTCGAGTGTTTGATATATCTTCTCAATCGAAACAAAAACTAAGGAGTAAACGGAGGAGTAAATCGTCAAAATCTATGCTGACCGGGGCCAGGTATCGAGACCTCCCTCACGGTTGTGATTTTCTTTGTTTTAACTTGATAAATTATTAATGAGTTTGAAAACTTCAAGTAGTATATCGAACTTGAGGCCATGTTTTTCTACATTTCCAAACACCAAGAAGAGAGTTGAAAAAATTAAACTTGATGCGGAGTATTTTTGAAGAACCTCTAGGTGTTTGGAAATGAAGTCAAACGCTGTCTCAAGCGTTTGATATATGTTCTCCGAAACCCAAACTCAAACTAAGGAGAAAACAGAAATGAAATGGTAAAAATCTATGCTAATTAGGATCAGATATCCAAACACCGTTACGGGCATGGTGTCCTTTTTTTCTTCAATGAATTTGAGAAGAGGGAAGCAAGTTAAACTTTGGTTACGCCAAAGAAAGAAAAAAAAAACTTCTTCACATTGACTTACGTGCGATGTATTATCGTTGTTTGCAGATTTCATGACCCCTGGTTTGGGAAGTATTTTGACGGTGATCCTTCCACTGGTCAAATGCAAGACTATAGTCCTTTGCCTGTGTTACACATCCATCTGATGAGACTGTGGACAGCCTGGCTTGAAAAATACCCTGAGGAGTTTGTAAATAACCCTGTCATTGCAGTGAGTGTCTGCGACATTACTTTATGTTAACCTAAGGAATCAGGTCCGGAAAAGCGGAGACAACTTATTTAAGAGCTTTAACGGTGGAGCAGTCGAACGTATTACTAGGAGATTTATAACTACCTCATGCCGAATTTACACCTTTGTAAGCACACCCACAAGTAATCAGACAGCCCTGATCTCTTTTTAATCAATTTTTGTATCCATCGTGCTCAAACTGAAATCCAATCAGAAACTAGATATCAGAAACTGTAAGTGCCGTCGCCGGGCGGAATTAAAATGCTCAGACTTCAGGCGTCTCTCGCGCGGGGATAAGCCTAAGGGTGGGAGATGACTGACATTTCAGGCTAAATTCAACTTTGTTACTCTTTCAATCTTCAATGAAACATTTTTCCTTCTTTTTAGTCTGAGCTTAGCGATGTGATACTTCCTTTGAGACAAGCTGGTGGCCCTTACCTCCCTTGTGCAGAGATTTTGGAAGATCTTATTCAGAATCTTGTGGTGAGCCAATAGGTCGACGGTTTATTCATTTGTCACTTTCTTTTACCACGATTTGCAGTTGAGTATTAAAGGCGCGATGAAAGTTTGGGGACCAGGTTTTAATATTCAACTTGTGTTGTTTTCAAGGGCAACTGGCTCCGTTTCCAATGGCAACTTGTCGGCCTTTGACGTCATCGGCAGCAAAACGCGCGAAATTGCAGACGACGATGTTGTTACCATTGGAAACGAGGAAAGTTCTCGGTGACAATGCCGTTATTTTAAGTCCAAAACCTCGTCACCGAAGCTCTGTCGCGCCTTACGCAGTTGATACAGATAATCACAGTACTTGAACTTAAAGTAATTATTTTTTTCTAAAGTCCAGTTTTGATTTAAAGGTCATTACAGAGACAAAAGGGGACACGATGCAGAGGACATGTTGCAGCGACATCTTTTTGTGAAATTCAGCTGGTTTGAATTTGCTGGTCATGAAGCAAGGATAAAATGACCTCAGTTTTCAATGACGCATGGTGTGCACTGCTCTTGCTAACTGTTCCCGCTACCACATAGAAGTGAACCAATATCCGCTCCGTGTGCCCATACACGAAGGCGCTTGTCCCCGCTTCACGTCTCCGCAACATGTCCGCTAGTGTGTGCCGACCTTAAAGATGTGGCTTTTGATTATTTATGAGATTCGCAGTTCAAGCTTCTGTTGTTACATCCAACTATTATTTTTGTTTTCAGGAAAGGGCTTCAAAGAGGCACCATTTGGATAGATTTCAGGCAAATCATTGTCACCATGCAATTCTTTACGAACAGGTGAGGAATAGAATGTAAAGTGTATGGCTGTAAATGACTGATTCATCAAGTTGAATTTGAAACAAAGGAAGTCATAACCATCACCGTGTTTGGATACCTGATCTGTATTGGCGTAGATTTTTGCGATCTTGTCTCCCATATTCTTTTTTGGTCAAACACTCTAGACGGTTTTTAACATATTGGCAAACACGTCGAAGTTCGTCAAAACTGCTCTGGTACGCGTCATATTTTCAGCTATCTTTTCGGTATTTGGAGATGTGGTAAAACACGGCTTCTCTTGTTTGATATATTGCTCATAACATTTCCTGGCCAAATGCCAGATGGTAACCCACAATGAATTAGTACCACAACCAGTAGTAGTACTCCAAGTTGTTTTATACAACAGATTGCAGAGTTGCGTGACTCTTTAGTTTTCTCCGGTCCCTCAGTCATCTTTGCGGCCGTCATTTGGGTTGTCACGTATGCTTCTGCTCAAAAGCATTGCGTGACTACTCAATTGATAACAGAAGACTAGAAATTCCTGGTTTCTGGCTGGGTAAAACTCTGATGTCCTTTTTTGCTTGTAGTGTCAAAAAGCAGTTGTGAGTGGAAGCCTGCCTTGTTCTGTTGAGGATTCTATTTACCTGAGCGCACTACAACTATATGTTGAGGTTGGTGGACTCGATTGATCGTCATCTATTCTCGTTTCCTGAGGCCGCGATCGTTTTAGTAAGCACCAAGAATAGCGACCTTTGGGCGGGTCCTATTAGAAGACCTTGATTCTCGGACTTCCCGTCAAATCTGACCAACCTGATTGGCTGAGAATACGAAACGAATGCTGTGTGCATGCTCAGAAAATCGGGTCGGTGCTGACCAAAAGGGTCATGGCCTCTGGGAATGAAAGAATGTATCATCATCCAGTGCTCGAATAAAGTGCCGACCCATTGTCCTGGACAAGTAGATTTTCATTCGGGGCAAGTTAGTTTTCATTCTCACTTGCCCAATGGGCGAGGGATCAGGCAAGTCGTCTGTCAACTAAATCATTAAAAGAGCAAACTAAGACTTGCTCAAAGCAGGCAAAATTTGAGAGCTGCCTTTTTTTTTCGAGCCCTGGTCATCAATGTCATCAACATTTACGAGCAGAGGGGCCCCTCGGCTGTAGCATGTTTTTAAATCAGTGAATTGAGGTTTTTTGTGTGTATGGAATGATCTATTTGCTTATTTGCTGCCATTTTATTTTTGCACAGGATCTGCTGTCAGCGGAAGTGCGAGGGAAGCAACGTTTCTTTCCATCATCCAGTAGAGAGAAGTATGGTTTGGCGTTTTATCGATTTTTGTAGCGCACCGTGACCGAGAGTACTTTTTCTAAAAGTAAATTAGTGAACTGGAGCAAGACTATCCGTCGAGTTAAGTTTTAGCACGTTAGTCCTTTGCAATGCATGAAGTGATGCAAGTGGTTCTTTTTTCTTTCCTCTCTTTTGTTTCTTATGAAGTTGCCCTGGCGTATTTCTGCTCTTCCAAATTGATCCCTTACAATTAAAAAGTGTTTGATCAAATCTTGTGCTAATGGTCTGCTAATCTGTTGTTTTTCGTTTACAGGTTGTCTGTTTCTCGTATCAAGTTAAGTTTACATCCATCCATGTACAAGGTGAAGAATATGGCAAAGAGGTGAGACATAAGATTGTTTCATAGTAAATGGGCGACTAATAGGCCGACTCAGTTTGACTGACAATAAAAGGATCGAAACTTACCAGAACCGACCAATGACTGCTGACAGGCTTTACACGAGTCTTAAAGCCAAAACCATCATGCGAAACTGAGCGATCACTTTCAACGGACCAGGCTTATAACACTATCGACTGAGAGACACTATTTACTTGACTCTTCAGATGTCCGCTCAGGTTGTCAAAACGTCAGTCACCGACAACAGTTCTTTTCAGAGCTACAATTAACCGGACGATCATAATATACAGACTACCGAAAAATTGTTTGTTCATTAAAGCGTCGTCGTCATGTTTTACTGTAGGTTATGATTTATTGTTGTTTTCTTTGTCTACTTCACCTGCACAGAATCAAAGCCCAGTATGAACAGTTTGTGAGCAGTGAAATGTCGGAGAGAAATGCCAAACACAACTTTATTGACTACTGTCAGGCAATGCCAGGTTATGGATGCCGCTTCTACAAACTGAAGGCAAGAACCATTCAAAGTGTGTCCGCATTTGTAATATACGATTAAGATATCTATTGATTATTCTTTAAAATTTGAAATGAAGGGCGCTCTCCATTCGACCGAAAAATCCGGAACGTTAGAAATGGATGCAAATTGTGCGGACATTCGTGGGAAAGTTTTCGGAAAATCCCAGAGTTGTCGAATTTTCGGATGCGAACCATTCTAACGAACATATTCGGAACCAAAATCAAATGGGAAGAAAATTTCATGAGAGAAATTTTCGGTATACCTGGTGAGGTTGTTCTGTTTTCCAGAACTGAAAATGCTGTTTCCGGCATTCACCATTGGAAAATGTCTTAGAAGTTCGAACCGGAATTTTTGGTCAAATGGAAAACGCCCGAAGATAACTGACTCGTTGATTTTTCCCTGTCCTAGGAGTGTATGGGTACAATTAATCCCAAGGGGGGTGCGGTCAGGTGCTATTTTGGTGTCAGTCCCAGGAAGATCACCATTATGGATGAGAAAACAAAGGTTAGTCTTGGAGTGTTACATATTCAAACTGTTCTAACATTCCTCCAGTGTATCTCTTACTAAATAATGTAAGTTACGGACCTAGTCTTTTTCCCTTCGTTTTATGGCCGAGCGCGGGTCGTAAATCGAAGGGGGAAAAAACGTGGATCCGTAACATACAGTATGGACCAAGAAAACGAGGTTAGTAAGATATTTATTGTATCTCTATCGTGTGTCTGTTGAGGCCTTATATGCCACTTGGCACGAAGTGGACAGGTAACAGGTAACAGTGTGTCTGACGGGTTCGGGAACGACTTCTAATCACGCGGAACGGCTTCAAGTTTCTGACGCACCTCGAAAGCAAAACGACTTGATTTGAAATCGTTGTTAAGCTGTTGACAAGTTTTAATACACAGTTTAAACACGAAACATTCTGGCTACAAAAGCAGCTTTAAATTTCAGCGGGTCGCACATTAGAATACGTCCCACTAAATTGACCAATCACAGCGTGCGTAGTAACTGAGAGATATAATAATAATAATATCCAATACTGGCCAATATTTGCACTTTGCTGTGTGAAAAGTATTGATAATGTTGTTCCAATATTATAGCAGAGTTTTGCAGTTTTTATGTCCTTTTGCCCTTTCATTAGGCTGTTATTGGTAGTTGGCCGTCAAAGGAATTAAAGAGATGGAGGTCTTTAGCTGACGACACCAAACTGCGTTTGGAATTCATTAACAAGACGTTTGAATTTATGCTGGAAAACAAAGGGTAAGTCTCATTTTATTGCGTTTTATTCAGCATGGTACAGTAGTACAAAACAATGACAGGACAAAGACATAAGCGCTGCTTTATGGAATGATGAAGACGATTAAGCAAGTCGAGTAATAGAGTCAGTTTGGTGTGTAATGACCAGCTGACACTGTTGCATGTTTAACTGACTGGTTGACATTTCCTTTCAGTGTTTTCAAGGAGATCAACGATGCTCTTCTGCTGTGTACCAAAGTTGAGCTGCAGGTGAGAGTCTAGGCCCCGTCCACATTACGCCGGACGAATTGGAAAACGCAGCTCTATTTCTACGGTCAGGGCTACCGTCCACACTAATCCGTCACGGAAACAGAGCTTTTCGAAAACCCTCTTCATGCCGGAAGAATTTGAAAGCGCCGACTTTGCATGTGTTTCAGTCTGGACGGAAAACATTTTCAAAACGGAGCTTTTTGGAAACGATGATGTCACGATAATCACGTGATTTCCCTGACCGAGTTTTCTTCAAACACGAATGCAAAATGATCGGTGATTGTTGCGTTTTCAAATTTTTCCTGCCTGAAGGGCCTCTGTATGCAGACTTCACCTTGTCAATTGATAGCGCACCTTTTTAATAGAGTTTTTTTTTTATTGATCGGTTAGTGAACCTCGCCCATTAACCAAATGGTCACATTTCAGATTTTAGCAAGGCAAGATTTCTCTCCATGGAGCAAATACGCTGAGGACAACGAAGTTTGGGGCGCACAGGCCCTGGCCGCTATGGCAAACAAACCTGCTTTGTACTCTGACAAGTATGACAGCGACCCAGGAGTAGTGTCCAGACTAAGAGCCATTTCCTTAGCTTCCTCTGTCCCAGATCAGTATGCAGCCAGAGTCAGACGACAGCTGTCCATTTCAGCTAAGCTTTCATCCTCGGCGCCTTATCAGCAGGGTGCGCTTCAACAGAAGGATGACCGAGGCAATGCCATGGCTCTGCAGACTGGTGTCGAGGCTGCCTCGTCCGCTACAGGTTTGTTCAGGTTTCTAGTTCTTTCTTGTTCCCAGTACTTGCCAAGGACCCATTGCAAAGAGGTAAAGAGACTAAATACAAAACAAACAGACCAAAAAGAAACAAACCTTTTTGCACAAGTCTCTCTCACGTATAAGACTGGGACATGTTTTGTTCGTGATTTTTATGAGTCTTATCTGAGAACAGCCTTAAACGTGGCAGGTCCTTAATTTCCACCCCTTCCAACAATAAATGAATTAATGGGATAGAACGCGTCCTGCGTCCTGTTAGAATATTTATGTCATCCTTGCGACGAAAATGACGATATCTCCTGTTGTCCTTCCTGTACAAAGACATTCAATTTAAAATAGAAATTTTTTGAAGTATGAAAACAGACTTTTGTCAGGCTTGTATCGTTTGCCTTGTTCTTGAATATTTTCCCCACTTATAAAGTCGTTATACATTTGCTGATGAAATCTGAGTGCTGTGGATACGCTAGGAACCTTGCAGTATGTTACGCTTTAGACTGCTGCCAGTCTGTTTCTCGCAAAATCAAGAGGGAGGATTAGGCGAAACATTCGGACTAAAAGGTTTTGGAACGGGACATGGGCGTGGCACTCACGAGAGGAAGAACCATATTTATTATCTTGTTTGGTTTGTTTTGGCCCATATTTTAGGAGCAGTATCATCAGCAATATCTTCCGGAAGTCCAGTTCACTTGTCGGTAGAGTCCCACACTTCAGAGGACCTACTTTTGGGCTCCTTACAGAGCACTTTAGACCCTTCAAAGTCCTCCTGGGAACCGAGCTCTCTTTCAACAACCCAGCAAGGAAGAACATCGAGTAAGAAATACTTAGTAAAGTCTTCTTGACCTGTACGGGAGTGTTTTGATTCCGTCGGGAAAATGAATGCCTCTCGCAGAAAAACTCATTAAAAATGCAAGTTTTTGATCTTAAATCAAAAGCATGTTTCATCTCAGATGAAAACCCTTAGGATCTTGATCTTGTTTTTCATTGGGTATCAAGATCCATCCGAATATCCAAATATCCCGCATTGACTGGCTGATGACTGTATAAATAATTAATGAGTTTGAGAACCCTTCCTATTCCACCTTATCCTTTGCTAATCAGATGTTCAAAGTCTCTGAAATGTGTTTCAGAAAAACTTCGCCTGATTCGAAAATTGCATAGCGCCTCCCAAAACAAGCAGCACAGTTTGTTTGTTAGTCTGTCGCAAACGGACCTAAATACCTTTCTAGAGGGCAACTTTGGTACAAAGACTTCAAAATAAACCTCTTGTGTGGGTGCAGGTTATGGGGTATGGTCCAAGTGTTTTAATCGTACACAAACTCTTTCATGTACTGTACGATTACAATTATCTTGCAGGGGGCAGTGAAACAAGTGTTGACGAATCTAGTTCGCCTACCGAGCGCCACCTTCTCGACCCATCTGGCTCCTTCACTGTTGGGCAGGAGCTGAAGCTTTCTGCATCTTCCGGTCGCAGTCGCAAGTACACACCTGAGAGTAACACCTCCTCTCTGGGGAGTGATTCCGCCAGTTCAGGACGGACCACACCCACCCACAAAGGACCGTTTAACTCAATACTTCGCGATGATGACGATTTTGAGAGTGTGAATCGCTCGTTTGGTCAGAGCACCAATGGACAGTTGCTAATTTGTCAATGCCCTCCGGATGCCGAGCTGCCTGGGTTTAATCGTCGAGATTTCTCGTGAGTTATAACTCTTATAACTTAGCCTGTGAACACGCTTCCTGCTGGGTTTAGTGCGAGCAAGCCTAATCTGGTCTAGGGCGAGCGGGGCTAACGGAGAGCGGTCTGGTGACGAAGGGACGACTCACTTCGCTCGCCGGGAGCCTGTTTGCAGGCTACTTACAACTTTGAGTATTGTTAATATAGACGTGTAGGATTAGAGGTTGGGACGAGTGTTTCACGTGTCGTATAGTAGGGTGAAGGGGCGTGAGAAGATCCACAGATTCAGATTCGGCGAGATTTCTCGTAAGTTAGGGAGCATTGAGAAGGGCGTGGAAAGGGAAATAGAGAGAGATAGGAATCGGGGTGAAGAGGAGTGTTACACGTGTTGTGTAGAGGAGTGTGGCAAGAGTAGGGAGAAGGGGCGTGGAAAGGGAAATGGAGAGACATGTAGGAATACAGGTGGGGAGGTGTGTTGTCGTGTCGTGTAGAGGGGTTGGCACGATTAGTAGAAAGGAGTGTGGGAAGGGTTGTCGCACAAGCTTTTTAAAGGGGGGTGTGGCAATAGACGTGGAGATGGTGATGGTGTGGCAAGATGAGAAAGGAGATGGTGAGAAGGGGTTTGGCAAACAAATTTGAGAGGCGTGGCAAGAGTAGTGCTAAGAGCATTAGGACTTAGCATCACTGGCATTTGATCTCCTTGATTGTTTTTGCAATTATTTCATCCATTGCAGGCCATTTGATTTGTTGCAACATCCCAAAGAACTGGCTCGGCAGATAACACTGATTGACCATGGTATGAATTTTGACTACCTTCCTGTATTTCAATTTGATTGAATTCAAAGGTGCGAGTGCTTCGTCTTTCAGTTGAGTCTTTGTGTGATAAGGTATTTGGGATCTGTTGGACTGCATCGGCGGGAAAGTGAAACACAGCCATTTATCAACCTGTCGTTGATAAAGGTAAATTAACCTCCTTACGGAGTTCGTGAAACAAACAGAACTAGAAGAAGCAAGCAGACGAACTACTGAAGCAAATGTGTCTGTTTAGTTTCTTTGTTAATAATTTTGCTGAATTCCGATTGAAAATAATTGTCTCTATGGACCTCGCCAGGAGAGGAGGCCGATGGTTGGGGATTTCATTGACAATATTTTGTTATATGGCTTGCTTTCTTCAGAGTGTTTCTGTGCAGTGACTTCAGCTGATATCCAGAAGAAGATTGCTATGGGAACAGGAAAGAAACGAAAAGTGCCCCCTGAAGAAAGACTCTCTGTAGAGAAAGTAGCCGACAGATTTAATCAGGTACCTATAGTTTCTTTTAGGGACGTTTCTTCGCTTTTTGGTCGGCGTGTTAGTGGCTCTTAGCTATCTTCTAAATTAAGTGCGTATGCTATCCCCAATTAGTACAGGGTTTCACCCTCGGCTATATTACCTAGACACGTTAATGAAGTTGTTATTGTTGTGAAATAACATCTCCGCTACGCAAAATTGGTATGTGCATACATGTAATCATCACTCATATATATACAACCCGACAGACGGTGCCTGTTAGATCTTGCTGTTTTTCTTGCCTTGCCTACCTGTGCTCCTGAAGCTTTCTGCCGTTTCGCCAGCGTTTTCCGACGCGTTCATTCTATTTCATTGGAAAAGCTCGTGTACGGTAGAATAGCTCGTGTTTGTTAGAATAGTCTCAATAGACCAATGTCGATATATTAAAATTCAGCCTAAAACAATAGACCTCAGTACGAGGCTCTGGGGAATAAATACAAAGTTTGTGGGGTTTATTCCCCAGAGCCTCGTGCTCACGTCTATTGTGTTAGGCTGAATTTTAATATATCGAAATTGGTCTATTGGCATGACCTGGCGGTGCCTCTAAAAGAGCAACTAACTAGCTAGTGACCGTTTTTCGCCTGTTGATGCATAAAAAACTGATAATGCCAGCCCAGATTTGCGTGTTCACAGAAATAATTCGTATTCACTCGTTGACCGGCTTTGAAACTCTTAATAGACCAATTTCGATATCTTAAAATTCAGCCTAAAACAATAGACCTCAGTACGAGGCTCTGGGGAATAACTACAGGTCTCTTGTGTTAGGCTGAATTTTAATATATCAAAATTGGTATATTATTTAAACGACTTCTTTGTAGTTACAATTTGTATTAATTATTAAGGAATTGTTCGCTTTTCATGACGCGAACATTTCATGACGCCAAGTGGAAGAAATTTATTATAAATAATTGTATTTAGGCCGGCAGCCTAAAAAATGTAACAATTTACGTAGTTTTATTAATATATTAGTAAGTATTTTTGGTATATTAGTATTTTCCTTACAAGTAGTGTTATTAGTAACAGTATTTCTTGTTTTGTTTTGTTTTTTCATCTATACTAGCGTTAGTCTATGTAGTTTCTTCTTAAAAAAAAGTAAAAATTAGCGTAGTTTTTATTCATTAATATAAATAGTTAGTAAGTATTTTGGGTGTATTAGTATTTTCCTCTTAAGTAGTCTTATTAGTAATAGTATTCCTCGTTTTTTTTTCCATCTGTACTCACGTTAGTTTATTTAGTTTTTCTTTCTTTTATCTGCAAATGTAATTTCAATTGTTATTGTCACTCTTATTTGTAAACTTGTATAAATATCAATAAAATACAAAAAAAAAAAAAAAATTGTTAAGGAATTAAATAAGTGATGTTGTTATATAGCCGGAGTTTTGTTGACTCTAAGCGCACTCTCGTTAGCTGATTTATTGTCAAATCTAAATGTCGCCCGACGGGTGGCAATTCGGCAGCTCGTAATAAATAAAGATAATAATTTAAACTTAGCACTGAACGAATTAACTTCTTTTACTTTTATTACTTTCTTTCAGCTGAGCACGTGGGTTGCGGCCACTATTGTCACGGAAAAATCAGTGGAGAAACGTGCCAATATGTTCATCAACTTCATCGAAACTGCCAAGGTAATGAAAACTAATGTGTACGTAAGGTGTTTTATCCCCTGTTACACAGCCCAGGGTTAACGCTATCGAGCATTTTTCTGTCTAAAAGCGAAGATATTGGTGATGTCACCTATGATCATTAATGGGCCTGCCAGAGACCTATTGGGTGCGTGGTACGGAAATTGAACGCCAAAAACAGTGTTTGTATTTAAGCAATAGAGCACTTTTTCCGAGTTTGCATTGCCTCATCTAAACACAAGGGGGTTTGGAGAATCCTAGACAGTTGTGTAAACCCCAAGACGTAATCGAGGGTTTGCATAACTTTCTAGAATTCTCCCAACCCCTTAAGTGGGCTGTATAAACACGGAAAAAGTACTCTATTGCTTTTATAAGAATACGCGCGAATTTAAAACGTCACAACCGTGTTTTACATACTCTCATCCAAACACACCTATCGACCAATGAGAATGCGCGTAGTATCTCAACCATTTTATAAACACATATCTTACTGTGTTTGTTCGTTTGGCAGTTATGTCTTGAACTGAGGAACTTTAATGCGGTAATGGCCATTGTGGTGGCGGCTCTGGGCAGTGCACCAGTCAGGAGACTGCATAAAACAAAAGAGGTGAGAATATGCACAGGAATCTAAGGTTTACTTTTTCTCCCTCAAAATAAAATTTAAAAAATAACCTTTTTAAGTGTCATGGGGACACAAAAAATGAAGAAACAAGTGTTGTAAATAAAATTGAAAACTTGTTAGAAATCTCAACTGTTTGGAGGTTGATCAGACAATCCATCTTAGTGGCAGGGAAGACGATTTGAACACGGGAACAGAAGAAAAAACGGTATAAACAGAAAACCTCACCGAAAAGTTACAAAACTGAAATCAAAATTCTCGCTAGCTAATCCTGTGTTAGCTAAATCGGACTTAGAACAACCCGACCCAGGGCCCTGAAAACCAGGCCACGCCCCCTCCATATGAGTCAGTGGTCTCTCCGGTGATTCCATGCGGCCACTGTGACCTCAGAAATCCCATCTTTTTTTTTATCTTACGAGGAAGACTTACTAATTAAAAGGAGTTTATCTCTACCAACTGTAGGCGACTAAAGTATCAAGGAATTTGTATAGTGTGCCCATTTAGTTTTTCACGCTGGGCATTATTTACTTACAGCTTGTTCCTAAGGACTTCCTTGAACAGTATGCTAAGATGGAAATCCTCATGGATACAAAGGTAGGTCATCGCTTGAAGAAAGATACAGATCTATGTATAAATGCATAACTTTATTTATACTCAAATTTGCAGGGTAGCTACTTGTAGCTAGGGGAAGTGAAAGAATCGAGAAAAAAATTCAACTGCATGAACAAATTAAATTTTAAGTTAATACAATTCGCACAACCTATATTGATGAGCCACTCGGAGACGTTATAGAAGTAACTGTTCTGTAGTTTTCAGGTAAGATAAGAATTTACTTGTACATGGCTTGAGAAGAGATACAACAAGGATAGGTATAAATACAGAAGAGTCTATTCAAGCTCAACCGTAACATCAGCCATTCAGTCAGTATTTTATGTCGTGGAAGTGAAGTACCCCGTTTTGAGTTTCGGGTGATTGCCAGTCATGACTGTTTGTCGACAGCATTGAACCCCATTTCCATTTGTGAGTAGTTTGTTTGTTCTCACGGATTGTATGCCTGATTTTTACAAGCATTCAAAGGGAAATTATGTTCTAATCACGTTGATCAGTGTTAGGAATGGAAAGAAATAAGTGGTTTGTAAATGTCTTTCGTGATAGGATAATTACAAGAGATATCGTCAAGCTCTTGCTTCCTCACCCACTCCGTCAGTTCCTTACTTTGGTAAGTTTAAAACATGTATTGTTATTCGCACCTTGTACAACTGGCAAGTTGGTAGTTATTATAGAAACCAACGAGCGAGGAAAATCAGATTGCCTTAACCTTGAGAATACTGAAGACGAAGAGTGAACATGCGTCAAAATGATCCCATTTTACGTTGTGACCAGAAACATTACCCGCTTAAAATTTAGAAAAAAAAAACCACTCGTGTTGTGAAGTACATGTCCCAAACTCATTCATAATTCATCAAGTTTAAACAAGGGAAATCATGACTGTGACGGCGTTTGGATATCTGATCTTAATTAGTATAGATTTTTACGATTTTATTTCTCCGTTTTCTCCGTTTTCTCCGTAGCCTAAGTTACGATTGAGAAGATATATCAAACCCTTAAGACAGTGTTTGACCACATTTCCAAACACCTCGAAGTTCGTCAAAAATACTCCGCTAGGCGTCGTATTTTCAACTCGCTTCTCGGTGTTTGGAAATGTGGTCAAACACGGTCTTTCGTATTTGATGTATTGCGTCTCAAATCTCGTACATGTCACTCGTATCTTGTAAGCTAAGTACCTCTTGGCGTTTCATCCTGGAGGTTTATCCATCCGTCCCATGACTGAAGTCGATTGTGCTAGTTTGTACCTTCTCATTCTAATTGATCAGTTAGCAACAAGAACTTCAGTTGTACCCACCTACGATCAATTGTCGAGTGTTTGAAGGCAGTAGGCATTCCAGAGAGTCCCAGGACCATCCACGGTATTTTTAGTACAAGTACTTCTTTGTTAATTTGGCCACAGATATAAATGTTTTTTGCTTGTTTTTTTTGTTTGTTTTCTAATATATCAAGGTATTTACATGAAGGATCTCACTTTCATCGCTGAAGGAAATCCTGACTTTTTTAAAGGTGGCCTCATCAACTTGACCAAACGGAGACAGGTAAATGACGTTTTTTACAATAATGTATAGATTTGGCCAAACCTAAATGCGGAGCCCCTAGGCCGTACTGGTCAGCGGATACCTTGTTTTGTCAGATGCTAATTGACCATAACATGGATGTCCAATATCAAAGATGTACGCTGTAAACCAAGGCTGCATGTCTCTGTTAAAGAATAGAGCGTGTCCATGGATAGCTATCATTTTGATGTTCCCAAACAGAAAATGTTTACAGAAGAAAAGAATTCATTCCCAGACAATAGAAATCTCATTGTTTGGGAAGACAAATATGGCCGCTTAACGTCATGTCTGATGTGAAAACGCTTGTGCTTGCTTACCTGTCGAGAACCTGTTTCACCAGTGTGAAATTTTCCCTAGATCTTGTACTAAAATGGCCCGTTTCTCCCGCCAAAGCGACGCTGTTTCACTCCCGCGCGCTGTTTTATGTGAAAACGTCGCACTTGTGATAGTAAATCATGTTTTCAGAAATGAATTTTTGTTTGACGACTCTAATTCCATGCATTTCTGTTTTTTTATTTTACCTTTTTTTTATTTTAACAGATCTACCTCGTTATTGACGAGATAAGACGTTTTCAAAAGGACGTTTATAATTTCCAGGAGGTGGGCCGTTTGTTGATTGTATATTTTTTTGCGTGAATATTTGGCCTCTTCAAACAATCAGTCATTTTATTTAAAAACTCGGTTAAAATCTTCAGTAAGTACAATAGTATATCTAACTACAAATATAACATTAATTAAAAAACTACCATATACCTGTTTTGCAAGTTTGCCGAGTGAAAAAGTAAACTTGCATGATAAATGATCCTGCTACGACAAGCCCGTGAACCGGCGCCACCATCTTCCCTCTCCATCGGTTCCCCGACCAAAGAGTCTTGGTGCAAGCTTTGTTGCAATCTTTAATGCTGCTGCAGGTCGTCTCGCAATAAAGTCATATTTTAGCCTGCTGCAGGTTCTCAGAGTATGAGGAAAATGAGTCATATGAATGAATTATATATGTGAAAGACAATGCCAAGTGAAGAAGTGATCGTCAGTTTTGCGTTTACTCAGCATCGTCAGTTAAGAGAGACATTCACTTTGTCCTTGAACTAACTACTTGCCTATCTCACCCATCCCGACCGTACGTCAGCCCTAGTTTGTTTGCAGTTCTACTCATCGCTGCTTTCCTTTTCAGGTCTCCGAGATTCGTGACTACCTCGCAAACGAGAAGATTCACACTGAAAAAGAGCTGTACGATATCTCGTGCCAGTTCGAACCAGGCCTCCCTCGGCGACACTCTGAAGCCGACAAGTCCTTCTCGTCGCGCCCAGTCCCCCAATTTAAGTCGAACACCGTCGGTCGCATGGCAGGGAAAAGGTGCATGAGCCTGTCCAGGAGTACGACTACCTTGGAAGGCGCTGTCCCGGATTCGACGTGTTGACGTCATCGTGACGTCAGTGCATGACGTCGGAAAAAACATAATTTGACGTAAATATTTTACGATAATAATAGTGTTGTTTTTGAAATTGAACGTGAACTTTTGTATCAAGAAACAGTAAGGAAAACGTCAACCTAACATTTCAGCGGTTTGTCGTCATATTTTGGTACTGTTTCTATTCAGTGGGAATTCCCGTATCACGTTCTCTCCTAGGAATGTATCAATCAAGTTTATGAAACTTGACTTGTTGTAAATATTTTTACCGAGTTGTAACTGTTGTTTATAATAGTGTTTTTATGAACACAATTTAGCACTGATTTTTAATGGTGAATTCTCAGTTCCGCTAAGACAACAGCACATGGTTTATTCTAGTGCGTTCTTTTTCAATTCTGTTTGATTTCCTCTCTTGTCTTCGCCCCTTAATCGGTCTGGTGGAATAGGTAGTGTAATAATGTTATGTTAGTTGGTTTTTGCCGAGTGCCGTTAAAGTAAAGCCTCGATCGATAGAAACAAGGCTGTAAAGGAACTAGAACTCGAAGCCCAAAATCTGTAATCAGCACAGTCCAAGTCAAGTAGCTGCAGTGAGGCATAATGCGCCATTTTAATTCAATTCCTGTTTATAAATTGTGGGAAGGGGGTGGGGGGGGGGGGGGG